TAGAATATTTTATACCCCCTAAATTTATTGAAATGTAAGTTTTTGGGAAAAAAACGCTTAAATGCAACATTGTTAGTTTTTTCCTAGAAGTTTAAGGAAATGCAGTTTGTTCTACATGTTAAGTGCTGAAAACAACTTGAGCATTCTGCTTCAGCTGTATCTATCACATTTATGGTAATGTTGTTTATACTTGGTTTTGCAGTCATTACATGAGACAGATACTAGAAGCACTACGGTATTGTCATGATAACAATATAATTCACAGGGATGTAAAGGTAAGTTGTATCATCATGCACAAAAATACTGTGAGTGCATTTCACTACATTATGTATATTTTTCTTCATTGTATGTAGTTGAAGTACTTGTGGAAGGTATGTCAAAGCTTCTGTTAGCAGCTTGGAGTACCAGAATTTCTGGTACTCTTAACATAATAATGATAATGGTATTTTGAGCTCAAATGTCAGCACTTTAAAATATATTACCATGTTATTTTAAATAAAAGCTAAAATCAGAGACTATGGGAAATACACATGTTTCTCAGGTGTTGGGATGGAATGAACCCAATTGGAATCTGTCCCTCCAAGCATTCACCGGCCTCCTCTTGTGTTCATCCCAGTCTTCCAAAGAGAGCAAGATAAGAGGACATCCATAAATATTTCGCAAACCCCAGTTATGCAACCAGCAACCTTCTTTTGCAACAGCAGCAGCCACTGGTAGATGGCACAGAAGAGAGATGTTGCTTTCCTGCCTGGTACTTGGTTATGGGGAGCCCACCAGGAAAGCAGCTCCTCCCAACTGGTAGTGGTACCCATTCACGTGCCAGAGTAGCCACATATTCAGCAGCCAGTTCTTGCACTGAAGGATGGTCATGGGGCATTAGGGCACAAGGAACCTGCCAGGAAAGCAGCCCCTCCCAACTGCCATTTGAGTGGCTTGGGCGCCAGCAAACCATCTTCCCTGCTTGCTGCTGCCACTGGTGGTGGTAGCGTGCATGGAGAAGGACATGGCAAGCAGGCACGCTGGCCACTACTCCATTTTTGAACTATCTTTTTACTGCCCGTGGTGCCAAAGGCAATCTTTTTCAGGTACAGGTGATAGTTTCTTTTGTTTGCCCTTGTTGCTGTGCTTGGTAGCAAATCCTGTATGTTTGGTATTTGAAGTTCTTCTGCTGTACTGGCCATACAAATTCTTCTTACTATCTAAGAACTAAAAGGGAGATTTAGAGTAAAATTCCATTCTTCTCAGCAAGTGTTGCTCTTCCATATCTACAGCTATTATTCCAACAGGACCAGATTCTGAGGAATATTTTCCTAAGAGTTGGGCTCAGGGAGGGAGGGAAACACAATCTGACGGCTTTACCCCACAGTATTGTGTGCAGGAAACAACTGTGAAGTGCTTTTGAAGGTATACAATTGTTTCTGTACTCGGCAGAGAGGGGACACCTCAGAGTCAGTTTGACACTGTGAAGAGGCTTTGAAGAAAAAAAGGATCAGTCTCTGATTCTGATAGTAAAGTTTTTAGTGGAGCTTATATTTGCAGTGATCAGTAGTTTTGCTGTTGATCAATTCAAAACATGGTTCAAGAATCTACACCATGATAAACAAGGGTAGAGAATTTGTTTCCAACTATCTTATTTTTAGGCTATGAAACAAGAATGGGGGAACCCCAATATGTCAGTGATGGAAATTTCTGCCCAAGGGAACCTCCATAGATTCCTCTAAGGGATATAGGTTTACCTGCAAGGCATTCCCCAGAGGAATACCTGCTCTTATCTCTAATTTGTCATCAGAGATATCTGAGAGGGGTTGCTCTCCCTCCCATTTGGCAGAATGAGGGGTGCACAGGGGAATCCTTTCCGTTATCTCCAGTCACAGATTATAAATAACAGCAGACAATGTATGTGGTGGTGTGAAGCCAAGGACTTAGTGGTGCTTGGAACAGTGAATCCTCCAGCCTCACAGCACTTAGTTGACAATAGGAGGAGTAAGAGATACACATAGGAGGTACTCATCTCTTTTGGGACTGAGAAGAATCACTCTTCTCATTGGTGGCTGAGTCTTTTTCTCGATGCAGAGAGAGGCAATAAAAAGGCAGATGGGTAAAGCAAGATTCGTTTATAGCAGTGGGTATGCTTTGCCCATGAGTATCATCCAGTCCACAAAAGGCCCAGTGTGGGGCAATTTAGACACCACCTTAAAATAGTGCTTCACCCCTGTACCCCTTGATTAGAATTCTTCGGGAAAAATGGAAGGAGGGTTATGTCATCTTGATTAAAATGAAGGATGATCCTAGAGCAAATGAAGGAGTATTGCATTTCTTTGTTTCTTTACTTTGGACCCTTTCAGTCTGAAATATATGTTGTAGGAGAGTGCATATCTCATTTTTTTAAAGTTTGTAGCCAAACTTTAGGTCAATGAATTTAAATCATTGGTATGTTGTCTGTTGTCACATGCAACTATATTGTTGTTCTCCGTGTTAATCTTAAATAAATGCTATCTTCTTTTTATATTGACAGCTTACTGATTAGATACCAGTTCTAAACAGGCATCCTCCTTTACCAGCCCAACTGTAAATACATGGAATAGTTAAAAATATAAATAGTAATTTTCCCTTTGTGGTCCAAAGCATACGAAGTACTAGTTCCACTATACTCAGCACTAGTCAGACCTCACCTGGAGCACTGTGTCCGGTTCTGGACACCTAAGTTTAAAAAAGATCTGGAAAAGCTAGAAAGGTACAGAAGAGGGCAACAAGGATGATTCAGGAACTGGAGGCAAAGCCCTATCAGGAAAGACTGAGAGAACTAGGCATGTTCAGCCTCAAGAAGAGAAGAGTAAGGGGTGATATGATAGCACTCTACAAGTACCTGAAAGGCTGTCACAAAGAGGAAGGACAAGATCTCTTCTCGTTCATTCCAGAGTACAGAACACGGAATAACAGACTTAAGTAAAAAGAAACCAGATTTTAGACTAGACACCAGGAAGAATTTTCTCACTGTCAGAGCAGTACAACAATGGAACCTATTACCTGGGGAAGTTGTGGACACTCCCTCTCTGGAAACATTCAGAAGCATCTGGACAGTCATCTGAATGGGATGGTGTAACTTAGTGTCCTGCACTAGCAGCGGGGTTGGACTCAGTGTCCCTCTGGGCCCCTTCCAACTCTAGTATTCTGTGATTCTATGAATGGAAGGCAGTGGCCACTGTGTCTTCTCTAATAGATAATTCCAAATATTTTGTAGATCCATCAATTGAATGTGACAAATACAGTAGTTTAAAACAAAATCTGGGAATTACTGTGAGGTATGTATGTAAATATCAACACTGAGCTGTCTACTGTTGTGATTAGTTTTTCTGGAAATTACAGATTTCTGCTTGCTTATGTTCTTTAATAACATGTACTAGGAGGTACTGTGCTTTTTTAAAATACATTTGATACTTCCCTGAATGAAGGACTTAACAAAGACCAAATTCCATCTAAGCCAATTGATCTAGTTTTAAAGTTGGAGGGCAATGGGATAAACACAGGCCTCTTGAGAGGGAACTTTAATTGAGGGGTAGTGAAAAGAAGATGAGCTTTTTGTCGTGGTCTTTGGGCATCACACGTATGGTTGCTGCGCCTGCACGGTGCCTTTTTCGGGAAGATTCTCTAGCGTACCCTAGAACCTTCTGCGGGAGCCTGCCCCCTCCCTTCCCCTGTATATGCCATTTTCCCAGTTTGCGTTCAACCGTCATTTTCGAAGTGCATCATGAGTTTCTAGCATTCAATAGATGCAGAAAAACAACAGAGAATGCAGTCTGCTCTTCATATCATCACTCCTACATTGAAGACATTTATATACCACCTTTTAGCCGTTAGTATATGTGCAATAGAATCCTAAGTATATTTATTCAAACATAAATCTTGTTGAATTCAATGTGCCTACTTCATCATAAGTCAGTTACTAGGACTAAATCACTTGTCTTCCCCACCATTACTGTCACCACAGAGGGCATAGTTATTTCACTAGATTTGCTTATAATGTGTCTTAATAAAAATGCCATGTATTTATGACAATTTGTCCCACATAATTTTGTGAAGGACTGTTAATCCACATATAGTTTAAAGACATAGGAAAAATAAAAAAGAAGAGCAGAATTTTGAATGTGAAATGCCAGTTGAGCAGGTGTGCTAGTCACCTGGTCAGTCTTATTTACTACCGTGAGAGTTGTTATATTTTTGTTCAAATGTTAGTCCTTATTTCAGAATTTACACCTACACATTTAAAAAAGTATATACACACTTTGACAGTTCATATTTTTAGTATGCTTTTTTGACAATATGTAAATAGCCACCCTAATTAGGGGTACATGAAGAACCCATTTTAGGGGTGGGAATCCATTCAATTTCCTGGGCTTGACTCCTCAGGCTCCAGTCCACTTGGATGTGCCTGTGAGTTCATGGCGTGCATGCCCAGCACTCATGTGGCACTCACCAGGCATTGAGCACCATGTCCTGTACAAGCAGCACCCCTCTTCCATGCCATGTGCAGCAGCCTTTGTTTGTGCTTCTGCACATGAAGCAGAAGGCAGTAGCTAGTTGTGCAACCATTACTCTGTGAGCTTTTGCAGAGTTCCTCCTAGCTTGCTTCACAAAATGGGGCCAGCATGAGAAGAAGTCTGCAAACGCTGGAGGGATGGAGTCTCTGGAGCTGCCATTATGTATGCCACATATATTTTATTTTTATACATTTACAAAGGAGACGGAAGGGGAGGGAATTCATTCATAAATTCACATTCATTCTAGACACTTCTTTTCTAGGTTCTTTAAATAATGGGCAATTTTATAATTTGCTATTCCTGCATTGTGTTTTTTAAATTTTTTTGCATGTTTCACATGTAAATAGAGAAATAAAAGAATGAAAATAATACACATTTATTTTGCAGCATTTCAATTATTCCTTAATATATCTGTCTACAACTATACAGCATACAGATAAAATAGTTTGGAAACCACTGAGATTGAAAGGTTTTCTTAATGTAGCTTTATAAGCAAATATTCCAATTACATAAAATATATTGAAAATTACAAAACATTACGTATGTGAGTATCAATATCTGGCTATTTCTGTGATTCTAAGTTATATCTCTACAGCCAACCCCCTCAAAATTCTTTCCAGTTATGTAAAAGCAGTACTAGACTTTTTTTTTAACAAAAGTTTTTTAACTTTCTGGTGAAATACCGTTCAGCAGTTTTCTCTGGTCTGATGTAAGATATTCCGTAGAAGTTGAGAAGATCAATTAACCTCAGGGTGTGATGGTATTTCTACTTGCCACAGGGTAAGCAACATGAAAATCAATGGACTTGTTTCCATATATTCATGCAAAGGCCTATGCTGTTAATTCATGCATTCTGAAGGCTTGGGTTTTCCTAAAGAGAATGCCCTTGTTTTGGTTCTGAAGTACTGTCGTTCATGTTAGAATTCGCAAAATGTCGCTTACAAATCAGCTGAAGTACAGTTTTACGGATCCTTCTTGACATTAAGAAATACATAACTGGATCTAAACAGCTGTTGAGGGATGAGAAGACTAACATAGTTTCATTGCATTTATGAATGATCTGTTTCCAGTAACAGGATGTGTTTTGTAGTTGTGAGCTGATATAAATAAATCGGAAAAAATGATAAGGAACGAAACATAATGTAAAAATGATAAGCACTATAAAAGAATTTCTTGCTATGATAACATACTTTCCAGTATTTGGAATACTTGTTCTTCTTTTGGAAATTTTCAGAACATTCTTTGCAATTTTAATGTATGACAGAAGCAGTAGAATGAAAATAATCCAAAATATTATAACAAGAATATAATTCAAACCTGCTTCTATTTTTGCATCTTGTTTTTCTCTGTAATGAAAACACATTGTAGAGTTTTTATCTTCCTTCATGGTAGCCTGAACAACCATCAGTATAAATCCCGAAATTGCAACCACCCATAGTATACAACAAATATATATGCTTTGCTTTGCTGTTAACAGTTTAGGATGTCGAACTGATCTGTTAATTTTTATATAACGGTCCAAGCTAATCAGCCCTAGCAGTATTATGCTGGTGTACATGTTCATATAAAATAGGGTTCCCACAATTTTGCATAAAGTCAAGCCCAACAGCCATGTGTTTTGGGAAATGTGATAAAATATTCGGAAAGGGAGACAAACGATCAGCAGAAGGTCAGCAATAGCAACATTAAGTAAATATATCTGGATAGAATTCTTCTTGAAATGAACGCACAGAAAAACATATAAGGCAATAACATTGCCAACCAATCCAGTAACAAAGATGACAGAATATGAAATTAGTAAAGCCAAAGTCAGTGATTCGTCTGCAGTGACACAGTCTGTAGTATTTTGCATTTCTGAGAAGATTCTTCTGGTTTCATTTTGGTAGCTCCTGTATACTTTTTCATTAAGTGACAAATTCAGGACTTTGGAAGGATCCATCTTACCACATTTGGTATAAGAACATCAAAATTCTTAAGTGTTCACTGCAGTGATTATATTTACATGTTCATATATAGTTTATTGGTTTTACCTGAAAAAATGGAAGATCAGTAACTGTAGTTATACCTGTAATATATTAATTGATAAAATTGTATGGGATATATCAGTTAACAGTCAATGAATATGAGATTTCACTATATATTGCCTTGCAGAAGTGTTCACTAACCAGGTTTGACCTTCCCATGTATTGTTATGTTACGGATTGAATATGGGATTTTATGGAAATTGATTAAAGTGGCATTGTTACCAAGATACTTGTGATATACACAAGATACTTAGTGCTGTAATGGCACAAAAGAATTTTATTGTGGCACAAACCTGTACTTGTTGGATGCTTAAGTATTCACTCCCTTTGCTATAACATGCCTGAATAAGCTCTGGTGTAACCAACTATCTCCAAAAGTCACACACTGTAAGTAGCTGAAAGGAATCTGCCTGTGTACAATTCCAGTGCTACGTGACCTCCGTTTTAGTACACCTGTTTCTGAAAGGCTCTAGATTTAGTTGGAGAGCATATCCAAACAAACAGTGTCATGAAGTTCAAGGAGCTATCAAAACAACACCAAGATAAAATTGTGGGAAGACACTAATTAGAGTTGGGTTACAAAAAAAGAAAACCCAAACTATGTGGAAAATCCTAGAATATTAAGGTAAAGGTAAAGGTTTCCCCTTGACATTAAATCTAGTCATGCCTGACTCTAGGGGGCAGTGCTCATCTCCGTTTCCTAGCCGAAGTAGCCAGTGTTTGTCCGCAGACAGTCTCCGTGGTCATGTGGCCGGCATGGCTAAACACCAAAGTGCACGGAACGCTGTTACCTGCCCACCAAAGTGGTACCTTTTTATCTACTTGCATTTGCATGCTTTCGAACTGCAAGGTTGGCAGGAGCTGGGACGGAGCAATGGGAACTCACCCCATTGTGCAGATTCAAACCAGCGACCTTTCGATTTACCAGCCCAGCAGCACAGTGGTTTAAACCACTGCACCACCTGCAGTCATATTACAAAATGGAAAAAATGACTTTGTCTAGAAAAGTTTGCTTAAGAAGACTTTCAGTTGTAATTTATGCTGAATGTGCTTTTGCCAATTACTGACCCTGGGTCAGGAATGAATACTTATGTAACCAACAAATGCCAGTATACTTAACTCTTGTGCCATAATAAAAACAATATGCACTTTTACATCATTGAGTAACTTGTATACATCAATTGGCAACAATGCCAATTCAATCCATTTCAGTTCCACCTTGTAACCCAATGAAATGAGGAAAAGTCAAAAGGTGGTGAATACTTCTTCAAGGGCTGTATATTAATTTACAGTATTGTGAATTAGTATTAAAATCTCAGCATATCATAAAATATCCACTAAAGCAATATTTTAAAACAATGTCAGCGTCCACCAAATTAGACACAACTGGCAATTCAAACCACCCTTCTTTTCTATCCCCTCGAAGATTTGAAGACATAAGGTAGATTTTGGGGCATGCATATGAAAGAAAAGAAAGGAAGCTGAATATCATTCATGTAGCATTAGATTCAAATTATTGGGAAAGTATTTAGGGAATTTGAAAGTTCCCATCAGAATATTAACAGGCTATTCAAAGGGATTCTACGTACTAAGGAATAAAAAGTGTGTGTTTTAAGATCAATTTTAGGCACTCCAGCATGACTGGACAAGCTGGGAGTTGTGGAATATTTTCTCCCTAAAAATGCATTGATTTGCATCCTTTCTTCTGTCCCATAGAAACATATTAGAAGAACATTTGCAGTTTAACAAAGCTTCCTTTTGAAAGCCTTTCTGTTGAGGATAGGAGCAGGGAAGCTACAAATTTGAAGAAGCAGATGAAAGTGGCTTTTTTTGGTTTTCTCCCCCCGAACATTTTGTGTTTAAAAGATCTGTGGCTTGCCCAGGGAAACGGTATAACAGCACAAGAAGAGCCATGCTTGATCAAACCAGTGGCCCACCTAGTCCTATATTCCGTTCACTCAGTGGCAAATCGTCTGCCCACAGGATCCCTCAAGATGGATATGAGTGCAGCAGCAACATCCCGCACGAGTTCCCCAGCAACTGCTGTACCTAGGCACACTGCCTGCTGCAACTGGCTGCGATCTAAATTCTGCCATTACTTGAGCCTTTTAAAAGTTTAGAATTGAAAATTTTAATTTAACACAATTTATTAGTGTGTTTTAATACATCATATGTTTATATATTTAGATTGCAATCTGTATACTTACATGGTTGTAATAGCCATTGAACACAGTGGGCTTTACTCCTGACTAGGTGTGCTTGAAATTATAACATTGTGATCCTATTCACTCTTACCTGGGAGTAAATCCCATTAAATATAGGCTTTCTTCTGCATAAAGCATTAGATAAGGGGAGAGAGAGAGAGAGAGAGAGAGAGAGAGAGAGAGAGAGAGAGAGAGAATGAGTTATATATTGGGTAGTATATTTAAATGTCTAAGCACCTCAGTCTCTGTTCATAAAACATTATTTAAATTTAATCTGCATAAGGGACAGGGGATAAGAGTATAAGTGATCTAGTGGAAATATTGTTTCAAATACTGCACTACTGCTCTGATAAATATTGCTTGTAAATATTACGTATATTTTCCAGACAAACACTTCTTTGCCATTTAAAGTTGAAAGGATGTGTGAGACAATTTGATATTCTTGTAAAGTTTCTTTCATTTCAAGGAATGCTAGCTGCATCAAACCTATAAAATGTCCTATAAAATGTTTTTCTACTCTAACATTATCTTAACAGAAGTAAAAAAGTTTATAAATGTAATAAAAAGGAATATACTTACTTTCTAGTCAGAGAGAGAACATCTGTGAGATGCTTCATCAATTTTGTTGGAGGAAGGAAGAAGAAAGAGGAAGTAGATCTAATTATAAAATATTGCATAGCTATGGTATTACATGCTAAGAATCAGCTGTGTCAGCTGGTTGAGTTCTCTATGTATACAGTGGGTAACTGAAAGATGGCCAGTGTGTGTCTGATGAACCTTTGAGCTGGGTGAAGTTCACTAGATGCATAAAGATACATTTGCATAAGTGAAGGGTACATATGCACACACATGAAGAGTCGGTGGAATACAAATCATGTTACTATGAACACACTAAAGTCAGAGGATGGAAAAATGCATCGTCCTAACACTTCCAAAATCTAAATAATCCAAACTAAAATAAAATACACAAATACAAAATAATTGCTGTAGCTGAGGGAGAAGTCTATTGGAAGGAATGCCTGTTGCATTAAGAGACTCCTAAACCAAGTCTTTTTTAAACTCTCCTTGTTTAAAAAAGGGAGAGTTTAAAAATAGATAAACTGTTATAAATAAACAAGGACTGAAGTATCATAGGTGGCTTGTGGAGACTATTTCCAAGTTAAGTGAAATTCCCAGCTAGCTTTAATTATGATTTAGGTTGCTATTGAGACATCTAAGGCAGGAGAGGAGAAATTAAGTTTAAAAACTCTCACCCATAGGAGACAATGACTTTTTTCTGTGAAAAAATATCACATCCTTATTCAGATAATCTAAGTAATGCTGTGAGACGTGATCATTCCCAGTCTTCTCTTACTTGTTTATCAATAAGAGGTATTATGTCCATCTCTGAATAGTGTTTATTGATTGAAACATTTTTATGTTCCTATTTTTAACATCAGATTTGTTTCAGTTCACTCTCTTACACAGGGACTTCCCAGCGACTGTTGCCATTTCAGAACATTGCTACTGGTATTAAGCTAGATGTTAGGTTAGTATTCACACAGTTGGTGTGAGTTTAGGCTGGGGCTATGATTGTTACATCTACTAGACACAGGCCAACAAAAGAATATCATAAATGAGAAATAGTTGCAAAATGTAATTTAATATATAAGGCATTGAGAGAGAAAATGAGTTTTTCATCAAGAGATATTTGTTCAAGGAAAGACTGCATAATGGTGTGCAAAAATTTTATCCTAGCTTAAAACAACTTGGCTTCCTGTCAATAAATTCTGGTTTTGCACCCCTTCAGATCTACTAGATGCTGTGCTGATGTTTGTTTGTACTGAACTAGTATAAATGTAAAATGTTTTCACTTACTTTATATTGACTATCAGTCTGTATGTTAAAAGCCCTTCAAAATCTGGTATGTTCTTTAATATATGCTATCTGCTTGTACCACTTGAAATGTGGATCTAAGTTGTTCATTTAAGCATGAAAGTATTCAAACTGATATTTCCTCCATAATACATAGTAACAGGATTGTTGACTTTACAGAATTTTAGTGATTTTCATTCATTCATTCATTCATTCATTCATTCATTCAGCATCCTGCCTTTCTACCCAAAAATGGCATTAAAGACCGTTTACATAACCAATTAAACTTGTTTAAAGCAATACATTAAATATAATTGAATAGTAAATGTTACAGAAAATATTCAACTGAGCAGGCATTCTTCCAGACCTTTACTTACGGGGTAAAGGCCTTCTTAAATAAAGCAATCTTTAAATGCCAGTGGAAGGACAGCAGAACAGGTATGAACGAAGCCTCTCCTGTGGGGGAGTTCCAGAGCCTAGGAGCACCAGAAAGACCCTTGTTTGGGTCTCCACAAGATTTTGAGACTGGCTCAAAAAACAAAATGAAAGACTTCTCCAGAAGATCTTAGGAACTGGGAAGGCTCCTATGAGAGAAGGGAGTCATTTACGTAGCCCTAATACCTCGTCTGAGAGATTGGGCTGTATTGTATAAGTTATAACAAACCCTTCAAACTCTGTCCAAAAACAGACTGGCAACCAGTGAAGTGGTTGTACAAAGGAGTCGTACTGCATGCACCCTGCCCTGGTCAGCAGGCTAGCTACAACATTCTGGTCCAGCTGAACTTTTTGAGCAGTTTTTAGGGCAGCCCCGGACCGACCATGTTGCAGTAGTTTTAGCGGGATGTGATTGAGACATGCATCTCCAAGAACACATGCGGTGGGCATACTAATTTCAGCTGTACAAATACACTCCTTGCCATTGCCAGGACATAGGCATCCATGTAAATCCAAAAGTATGCCTAGGCTGGATTAAGTTTAAATGTATTTACCTTCCTTGATCCATTGCAGACATTAGGCTCTGGTTTAACTAACGGCATGACATCAGACAAGAATTCCCCTAGCAGCACCTTCTGAAATCACTCCTTCAAGAAGAATCTAAGCCAGCATATAACAGCGCCTCCCACTTCCATCTCAGACAGACATGCTAGAAGATCACCCTGATTGATGGTATCAAAAACACCACCAAAATGTCCAGTGAAAATAGCAGGGACACCCTCATTCCTGATGCAGATCCTGTTTGTTTATTATTTAAAGTTTTTGTATCCCGCCCTTTACAGTGTCTCAGGGTGGCAATAACATAAATTACAGGAAAGATTTCATATTGTTTGTTTTGATTTTTTATACTGCACCATTCCCATAGGATCTGGGCAGTTTACAAGAGTATTATAGCAATTCCTAAGTCCAACAGATAAGGCTATTTGACCCAGTTGGCATGTAATGGTAACAAATCGTGGATTAACTAACCATATAATTTTCTGGATCATTTGCCTGGTGTATGCCGTTGCCACCTTGCATATTAAGCCCCTGGAGATTGTTTTGTGTCATGGAAATCCAGAAACAATGAGGTAAGCAGCCAGCAGTTCATCTGTGATTAGTTTTTTAACCCAAAATGGTTCAGAGTATTCAAGTTTACACATCACAAACTAAATCTCAGGTTGATTATGGGAGGGTACCCCACCCTGGCCATGCAAGCAGGCCCATCATATCCTGCTTCAGTGATTCAAATAATTAGAAAAAGTAACAGAAGAATGCCTATGGCACATTTCTTTGAGGGTGGATTCACAAGTATTTTCAACATTTTTTTTCCTAGCCTGTATATGCTCTTGCAGAACCCAACCAAAATGTGGTCATAGAAAGCTGTGTGAGAGTAATCAATTATGTCTTCAAATGGTAGAATGGTCAAACATTGGAAAACAAAGGAAAAAGAGAAAGACTCTAAATATCCCTGCTTCCAATTGTGATTCACTGCATAGTGACGAGTTGGAGGGCGTGCTTTGCTGTACAACTTTAGTGCCAAGCAGATTCTCCCACACTTTTTAGGAGGACTTTAGAGGCTTTTTCAGGATTCTGAAGCTTTGGTGTTTTAAAGTTTTTAAGATCTGTTTGTATTTAATTTTATTGCTTAAACTTAGTTACATGATTTGTACTGTAATTCAGTTTTATTGTTTATTATTTTAACCATGATTTGTGTAAGCTGCAAAAACATTTTGGCTATGGAGCAGCACAGAAATGGTTGCTGAAGCTTTATATAGCTAAAGAGAACTACATTGATTCCTCCATAGATCAGGAATGAGAAGACTTTAGGCTAACAGGATCTGCTAGAATTCCAAGGCCACTAATCTTCTGATATAGCTTCTGCATATTTTATTATACTTCATTTCACTGTTCTCTCAGCAGACAGACTGCCTTGCTGGGTCAAAAGGCTACTGGAGTTTTGCTTCCATAAATCCTCACTGAAGCCTTCAAAATGTCAGGCCTCAACTCACAATAAGGGATTTGTGTATTTGTCCCCTCTGGAATTTGTGCAAATGAGAAGCACTGTAGAAATACTGTTAGTTAGTAGTAATAAATGATCTGCATGAATGTTATGGCCACAGCCAACGTTAGCAGAAATCTACGGAGCCCCCAATATCCCATCTCTGGCTGTACCTGTGTACTTCTTACGGGTTCAGAGACATCTTTAGAAAATAAAGGTAATGAGTGGCCTATGCTTGTAGGACTCTGTTTCTGCATCACGTCCTAGCCACTTCTGAATGTACACAAACACGTTTTCAACCACTGCTGCCCAGTAAGGCAGGCACAGGCAGTGAAGGGACCATAGGAGAAGGAAAGCGTGTGTATGAATGAATGCACGCATGATAGGTGCATGGAATGCCATGCTTGGGTGCATGTGAATGACGTCTCTTCATTGTTCGAGGAGCTTGATAGAATACAATGAAGAGACGTCTTGATGCATGTTACAGGTGACAAATCTATCACGCAGTAAACTTTTATAGAGTAGAACCAGGCCCACATTACCAGGCATTGTATTGATTCCATGAATCGCCTCATCTCAGCAAACCTCTTGATTGAAATAGGCTATGACTGCTATACCATTTGAAACTTTAAAATAGAAATAGAAAGGAAAACAGTTGCTGAGAGTGAATCACGTTTTATAATATTTCTTTATAGCAGCACGCTTGATATAGTGGGGAGCTGCTGTACGTGTCATATAGGAGGGGTTGTCAATGAAGCAGGCTGTATGTGGCCCCGTTGCTTATCTGTACAATTTTTGTCTTATCTGCACAGTTGTTTTCATTGCTTGAGAGGTAGCGGCTTACTGCAGGGCAAGTGAACTTACAGCGAATGTAAAAGTCGCTTTTTCCTAACTGTTCCTATTTGATTGTTGTCTGAGAAACACTTTTGAACTCACTCACTTCTTTGTTGCCCTAAGATTTGCAAATGCTATGTGTCTGGTTCTTGTTTTCCTGTTTTCTTTATTCTCTGTTCAGAATTGGGAGCCAAGAAGTATGGGAGCATTTTTGTGCTCCCCCTTCCCATTGCAATTCTCCATCACTAAACTGCCGAGGATGATTGGGCAAACTTTGAAACAGTAATCATTGTGGTTTTGAAAGGGGACACTGGCAAACACTTCCAGTTGTGCACACAGGTGCTTTAGATACACCTACAGGCTTCTTTGGATGCCAGTTAGAGCATAATGAGTCTTATCAGGTACCTCCAGTCAATAATTTTCTGTGTTTTCCTATAACTATCAAAGCCTATTTGTATATAAGCAATATACTTCACATGTTTGAATTATAAGGATTTCATTATTTTTAAAACTTGGAACAATTTATCATGTGAATGATTTTGTTAATATTGGGCTCATCTAGAAAAGTGTGAGTGCAAGAGAGTTTTGTAAATATAAATCTGTAACTTCTTGCTGACAACTGTTCTATTTATGTCAAAAAAGGAAGCAGGTAAACAGAGCACAGAGTAGGGGTTTTTTGTTTTTTGTGTGGGTTTTTTTT